TGTATGCCCAACTCGTCGAGTAGAGTCGGATTGACCACGTGGGTTTAATGACCAACTCGACGAGTCAGAGAGCCAACTCGCCGAGTTGGCGTTATGTGAGGAAACCCTAAATCTCCGGGGTTGGGTCCTATTTAAAGGACCTTAAGCCCTCATTTCCGCCTCACCAGCCACCCTACTCCCCTGTGTGAAACCCTAATCGTTTTTAGTGAGCTAAGAGAGAAAGGGAGCTAATCTTTGGGCATTTTGGTGCACTTTGTGAAGAAGAAAAGAAGAGTATCAAGCAAGGAACGAGAAGAGGCTGTGGGATCTGGTGTTATTTCATCTAGAGCTTCAGTTAAAGGTAAAAAGTCTCTACCTTGCTCACTAGTTTGATAAGATCCAATTTTATGGAGTTTTGGGGCTTATTCCATCTTCCTTGAGGCTTTGAGTGTACCAAGTGATTGAGACTTCAGATCTAGACCTTGTGAGGTCCCTAGAGTCCAAAGGTCCCAGCTTTATTTAGTTATAGAGGAGATTGTGAGCTTAAGACCCTAAATGGAACTTATTTTGGCATTTCAACCCCTAAGTGCCATGCATGGACGTAAAGCTTGTAGCTTTACGTGGTATCTCAGCCTTGGGAGGCTAGATCTAGAGTTTGGGGTTGTAAATCTGCCTTAAAACGTCTGAATAAGAATAGAGTCTGAAAGGACTCGACAAGTCGGAGAGCTGACTCGACGAGTCGGTTAGGGTTTTCCCAACGAGTCTGGACACGTGTGACTCGACGAGTTGATGAGACAACTTGACGAGCTAAGGGGGACTTTCGCGACACTTCTGAAAACAAGGGGACTCGACGAGTCACATAGGTGCAGTCGACGAGTCGGGTCAACATGGACTGTTGACTCGAGTGTTGACTTCTGTTGACTTTAGGGTTGGTCAAGACAGAGAATAGGGAGACCATGGAGGGGTAAAATGGTCTTTTATCCATTCCAAGAGATTAAAGAGAGAAAATAGTTTGGTTTATTTAGAGTTGTGATTTAAGAGTTAATTAGAGATAATTATCGTATGTGCTAGGCGGAGGCTAGATCGGTGTTTCGTGTACGAGATTCATTTGCTTGCTTACGAGGTGAGTCTTCTCACTATACTTACCTTGAGTGGTAACTATGTGTGACCGGAGGGTCTTGTATGCTTATATTGAGTATTGTGATATCCTGCATTATGTCTTTGTGATTTATGATGTGTATTATTCTGAGCTATACTGAGTTAGGACTGGAGGGTCCACCCGAGCTGTGGGACCGGAGGGTTCCACTGAGACACATTTGACCTGAGGGTCGAATTTGAGATATAGCCATGAGAGGCTACTGAGTTATGTGTGGTATTTTGGAGAACTCAGTAAGCTTCGTGCTTACCGTGTTATGTGATATGTGTTTCAGGTACTTCTCAGGATCGCGGGAAGGCGCCGGCTTGATTGTACACACACTTGAGATGGAGTTTATGTTTTGTGGATCCTGGATTTTATCAAACAATTTATGAAATTTGTTTTTTTGACAATTCGGCACTTGTGGTTTTTGGAATGTGGTATTGAGAATTATGTGTTTTAAAAATGAAAATTTTGTCTGAAAATTTACGGTGTTACACTATGGCATGATATGGTGGCTGTGGAAAGCGAGATGTGAAAGACTTTACAGAAAATCAGGATATTGCCCACCAAGATAGCATATAATATACAATCTATGGTGTTCGTATGGCTTAAACACCGGAGTTCGAACTACCCTATTAATTGGATGGACTGGTGCATATACCCATTCTGGTGAAGTGAAGAAAATCGATGTTATTCTTCTTTTGCTGCTCTCATTTATGTTTTTTTCCTTTTATGTAAACTATGTCTCCTTCTCCCTTCTAGCATCTTGCTAGTTGGGGTTTAATTTTTTATTAATACATATTTGCCGGTTCCAAAAAAAAATTATTGGATGTCATTAATGTTGATTAAATTAAGAGTAAATTACACGAATGGTCCCTATGGTTTAGGATAATTTGCAAGTTTAGTCCCTAACTTATTTTTTTAACTCAGAAGGTCCCTAATGTTTGTTTTTGTTACGCGTTTGGTCCCTGTCTTACCTAAAAAGACTATTTTGCCATTGATTTTTTAATTTATTTAAATAAACACACCCCAACCCCACCCCCTCGCCTTACCTTACCTACCCCACCATTTTTTCCTATTTAAATAATAGTCTTTTTAGGTAAGACAAGGACCAAGCGCGTAACAAAAACAAACAGTAGGGGACCAAGCGCGTAATAGAAACAAACAGTAGGGACCTTCCGAGTTAAAAAAATAATTTAGGGACCAAACACGCAAATTACCCCAAACCATAGGGACCATTCGTGTAATTTACTCTTAAATTAACGTGTTAAACATTAGAAAAACTTTGAATCTATTATTATCATTGACTTAATAGAATTAGTATGTTATTTGGTTCTAGATGTCATATGAAACTTTATAATTTTGAGACAAATGTTCACAAATGGTCCATGTGGTTTGTTAGAATATCAAGTTTAGTCCATAATTTTTTCGGTCTCATAGAAAGTCAATGTGGTTTTAATTTCTATCGTGGTTGGTCCCCGACATATATAAAATGACTTTTATACCCTCATTATTTTATTTTTAACTTTTTATTGTTTAATTTAATTTAAAGTAATAATAAAATAAAATAGAAATCACCCACCCCTTTACCCCAACCCCATCGTCTTCATCACATCTCCATTTCCTATCTTAAGTCTTCCCTCATTTGCCCTAACTTTCCATTAACAAGGTGTTGGTGATTTTAGTGTTATCAATATATTTTGATGTAATTATTATTACTTTTGAGATAGGCTGAGTTATATTTTCACTCACCGAGCTTGGAGGTGCGGGGTGCGCACTCGGAGTGATAAATGTGAACTCGTGAATACGGGGCTCCGGGGGCAGCACCCCTGGATGTAGGGTTCCAAGGGGTTGCAGCCCCTTGGCGGGGTTTAGGGGCAGCTCCCCTAGCGGGGTCCATTAACTAACATTTTTTACGCCAATTATGCATGCAACCGCTAATAACCATATTTCCCTCTAGTTCCAGAAAACCGATTGACACTTACATACACGAAAATCATACATTGATTTGTTCTATTTTCTCAAGAACACAAAAACAACAAGGTATTCTGTGTTTCACATTCTGAATTAGCCCTGTAATTCAGATTGGTTTATTCTTGGATTATCCCACTTTTAAATCCATACACCCCAGGCAAAACGAATTACAGATTTCACAAAGTGTTTGATAAACACGATCCTTGAATCAAGTTTGTATTTATTGTTATTTTGTTCCCTTATTTTCTAACACAAGGAACCTCTCATTGTTCCCCTTCCTACCTACCACTGCCACCTTCCTTCTCCCGAAAACACTATCGTTGAAATTGTCATAGTCGGAAAATAACATCCCCGTTCCACCCCTGTTATCTCCCCTCCCCCTTCTTTCTTTATTTACTGTCCAACCCGACGATTACCCCCTCTTTCTCTCTTTCTTTCTTTCTCTCTCTCTCTCTCTCTCTCTCTCTCTCTCACACACACACTTTTCTTCAGTCCGAGAGCTCTACATTACCACAACTCTACATCTTCAGTCTGATAACCATACATCACCGCTACACCCCTTGATTCAAACTACATAGCTACTACGAGGGCTTCCTCAATGCTACCTCCAGATTTTCTCTCGCTTGCTGAATCAACACAAGCCCTCCGTCTAACCCCCATATTTTCTCTCGAGAAGTTGTAATCAAAAAATCTAAAACCCCCTTCTTAAAATTCAAAGATATGATTCTTCACCACCACCACCACTAGAAAATTGAAGAAGGTAAGAGTTTCTTTCTCGATAGCTCTTGTTGACTGGAAAAGATGGTGGGTTGTGGGACAGAGAGGCATCGATCACCCAATTGCCATGTTTGATTTCACCACTGACGTAGGTGGGTTCTAGGGATTTCACCACCAACATTGATCACCCGGTGGTGGCGATTATGTATTAGGGTTCAATTGTGTTTAAATTTTAGTGTGTGTGTGTGTGTGTGAGAGAGAGAGAGAGAGTGTGAGGAGATATGTATATATCATCTGGGTGGGTGGAGAAGAAGACGTGTGGGGAAGAAGATAGGGGGTGTTATTTTTTTTTTTTTTTTTTTAATAAATTTTATTTAGAGAAAAATAAAAAATAAATAAATAAAGGGTATAAAAGTTTTTTTATATAGGCGAGGGACCGATCACGATAGAAATTGAAATCACCTTCTATGAGATTGAAAAAAAAAAGATTAAACTTGATATTGTGAAAAACCACAATGACCATTTATGAACGTTCGTCTTCATTTGGTAATCGTTCTGTAAGTAATTTGACATATTTAAATAAAATAAATTAATATCCAATATTGTTATTATTTTGAAAATATTGACGTGATATTTTTATCATATAGTTTATTAAATATGTTACATAATTATGTTATATAGTTATAACATATTAAAGCTAATACATTACAATTAATATGTATACAAATTAAAATTAAAAAAAAAAATAATAATTAAGAAGTGTAATTTAAGATTCATATGAAACTTAAGAAACAAAAAAATTGTACAACTAATGTCCCCATTTCTTTTGATTCTTCACAATCAATTCCAAATTTCAAAGTACGAATAGAATTAAGGATTAATATCAATGACGGATAAGGAAAAAGAAGTTTCAACTTTATACTAAATGGTTTTATAAATGTACCATGTTAGGGTCATTGAATCTACAATTTTTGTTGAAAGTAATACTTAGTTACATTAAACATAGATTTAACTAATGCAATAAGTAAACCACTACGTCGCATCGATTCGGGTCAGCTTCCTAAATCAAATTCATCAAATTTATCAATAGATCATAATGGTTTTGTAATTGTCTATATATATTGACCTCAAGTCATATGTTAGTATAGTTATAGTATCACTACTTCTTTTTCTCTTTTTTCTTTCACACGCAATGGGCTCTCTTCTCCAAAAATCCACTCCAAATTTTCATAGAAGTCTATCAACTTCTTTAAAGATTTTGTCCTTAATCCTCCTTAGTTTACTTTCGTCTCTTTTTCTCAACCAGGAACAAGAATCATATGTTTTAGCAGTATGTGGTATTGTCCTCTTCATTATCATTAAAACTTACCTGGTATCAAGGTCTTCAGAAATCTACCTTGTAGACTACTCTTGCCTAAAGCCACCAAACTATTGGAGAGTACCCTTTTCGAGTTTTCTTGAACACGCACACATGGTTCTCTCTCTTGACCAAGAAAGCGTTGATTTCATATCAAAGGTCTTTGTGTCTTCAGGGCAAAGTGAAAGGACATACCTTCCTCCAGCTCTACACTTCATCCCAACAAGACCAACCCACGAAGAAGCCGTTAAAGAAGCTCGATTAATTCTGTTCCCAGTTTTTGAAGACCTTCTGTCAAAAACCAAACTCTCCCCTCTCGACATCGACATTCTCATAGTCAACTGCAGTGGGTTTTGTCCATCTCCTTCCCTGTCGTCGATCATTATCAATAGGTACTCAATGAGAGAAGACATAAAGAGCTTCAACATTAGCGGTATGGGGTGTAGCGCGAGTGCATTAGCTGTTGACATGGCGCAGATATTGTTGCAGGCCCCTGTTTTACACAGCAAAACAGAGCAAAGATGAAGAGTATTTTTGAGGCAATTTTCTGATTATCTTCTCTCTAAAAAACTGGAACGTTACATGCTACTTAAGCTACTAATCAGCTAGAAATGTGGAAACATGAAACCACTTGATTACTACTTCCTAAAGAAAAGGGAAAATGGCCAACATGGCTTTTGACAACTTCCTACATAAATAAACTGAAACAAACACAAATGAAATAAACATAAATGGTCCCCAAACTTTCTGGATTACACCAACAAATTCCCCCTAATCCAGAATGCTAGATGCTCTTCATTCCAAGCATGTTCCTCATTTCCTTGAACTTGTTCTTTGCCAGTGGCTTAGTGAGAATATCAGCTTGCTGTTCCACACTTGCAACAAACTTAGCAATGACGTCTCCTCGTTCAATGCAGTCTCTAATGAAGTGAAAGCGTGTGTCTATATGTTTGCTACGTCCATGGAAGACTGGATGTTTGACCAATTCGAGTGTGGACTTGTTATCAATGAGTATTGTCACTGGACCCAACTTTTCACCTGTTATTTCTTGAACAAGTCTCCGGACCCATATGCCTTGGCATGTTGCCAAGTTTGCAGCCATGAATTCCGCCTCGCATGACGAAAGTGCAACACACTGTTGCTTTTGAGAGCTCCATGTCACCAGATTTTTGTTCAAGTAAAATACCATGCCACTTGTGCTTCGCCTATCATTCACATCCCTTGCATGATTGCTATAAGAGTATGCAATTATGTGCTTCTTTTCTTTGCTTCGTGTGTACACCAAACCAAGGTTGAGGGTTCCCTTTATGTACCTTAGGATTCTTTTCACTGCCTGATTGTGTTGTTCGGTGGGCCTTTCTAGGAAGCGACTTACAACTCCAACAGCATAGGAGATGTCAGGTCGTGTGTGGCACAGATATCTCAGCCCTCCCACTATGCTTCTATATTCAGTGGCATTCACAGGTTTTCCACTCTCATCTTTGGTGAGCTCCAGGTTATTCTCCATTGGGGTCTCTGTTGGGTTGCAATCTAGCATGCCTGCCTTTTCCAATAGTTTTCTTGCATACCCCTCCTGTTTTAAGCTTATTCCACGCAGCTCTTGTGATACTTCAATTCCCAGGTAATATGACAGCAACCCCAGGTCACTCATCTCAAACTCTTGATTCATCTCCTTCTTAAAGAGTTCAACTTCTTCCTTGCTTCCTCCTGTGACGATAAGGTCATCAACGTAGACCCCTACAATCAATGAGTTATAACCTGTTTTCCTTGTGTACACTGCGTATTCATGAGCACATCTAACAAACCCAAGCAGCTTTAGGTGTTTATCTAGTCGTGCGTTCCATGCCCGGGGGGCTTGACGGAGTCCATACAAGGCTTTAGATAGCTTATACACCATCTCCTGTTTGTTTTTCTGCACGAATCCTTCAGGTTGGGATACAAACACCTCCTCTTCTAACTTGCCATGTAGGAAGGCTGATTTCACATCCAGGTGGTAAACAAGCCACCCATTGATACCTGTGAGAGCCAAGATTATTCTCACTGTCTCCAAACGAGCCACAGGAGCAAATACCTCGTCAAAATCAACGCCTTGCTTTTAAACGTAACCCTTAGCTACTAACCTGGCCTTGTGCTTCAGAATATTACCAAGAGGGTCTCGTTTCACTTTAAAGACCCATTTGAGACCAATAGGTCTTCGATCACGTGGCAGTTTAACTAACTCCCATGTGTTGTTTCTTTCTATTGCAGACAATTCTTCTTCCATTGCTTTCACCCACTTGCTTTCTTTACTGGCTTGAGCGTATGATTCTGGTTCCTCATGGTCAGCTGTAAGTAACAGTTCATCCTCTTGTCTGTAAATGTCTGACAACCTCCTGTATCTTTTTGGGGCTCCGCCTCCTGTTGATTCCGATGAGGTAGTGTTTGAACCCGTTGAGCTGTTGGGTGTGGTAGGGTTTTCTTCTGTCAATGGTAATGGGCTGTTATGGGGACTCTCTTGGGCTAGGTCCACTGAGTCATAGTATTCTTCATCATGGGCTTGTTGAATTGTGCTCTGTTGTGAGATCTCTTCGTAGGTTACATTTCTCAAGTGGTTGCTACCTTCCCCATTAAAAGATCCATCGTTTTGTTCTTGGCTTATAAAATCATCACCGTACCCTTCAATCACAAACGGCACACCAAGGTTATCTTTAAACTTGACTGAGTTGCTCCATGACCATTCTCTATCTTCCTCGAAGCAGACATCACGACTTACACAAATTCTTCCGGTGTCGGGGTCAAGTAAACGATAGGCTTTGCTTCCAAGCTCCGTTCCCAATTACACCAATGGTTTGCTTCTGTTTTCGAGTTTCCTTAAATGCCCTCTTACAACTTTTGTGTGAGCTATGCAGCCAAATACCTTCAGGTGCTCCAGATTTGGTTTTCTTCCAGACCATGCCTCATACGGTGTTTTTTCTTTCAGTGCTTTGGTTGTCACACGGTTCAGTACATAGACAGCATGTCTCACAGCTTCCCCCCACAAGATTTCAGGAACTCTCATGTGTTTCAGCATTGTTCTTGCCATTTCAACCACCGTCCTGTTTCTTCTCTCTACTACCCCGTTCTGCTGTGGGGAGAACGGTGCTGTGAGGTGTCTCTTTAGACCAGTTGCCTCACAGTAAGTGGTAAAGTCTTTAGACGTGAACTCACCACCACGATCAGTTCTGAATGTTTTCATTCTTTCACCTGTTTCATTCTCTACTAGGGCCCGAAATTTCTTGAAGATATCAAAGGTTTCATCCTTTTGTCTTCATCAGGTATATCCACATCACACGACTAAAGTCGTCAACAAGAAGTAGAAAATACCTATTCCCTGATGGCGTTGCAGGTGTGATGGGGCCACAAAGATCTCCGTGAACCAGCTCGAGTTTCTTGCTTGCTTTATACGAGGTTTGTTATGGGGTATGGTGTCCTTGTTTGCTTTCCAGCCAAGCACCACTCACAAGGGCGAGAAGGATTGATGATTCGTGGCAAACCATGTACAACTTCATTCTCTGACATTAGTTTAAGGGCAGTGAAATTCACGTGCCCAAGTCTTGCATGCCATAACCAATCTTGTTGTCTTCCTTCTCCCAGCAAGCATACACCCTTCACATCTTCCAATGCAATTTTGTACAGCCTATTTTCTGATCGTTTCACCTTCATGAGTAATCTTCTGGTTTGATCGTGAATCCATAAGAACGACCCAAGCATCACAATTCTGTCACCGGTTTCTGCCAGTTGACCCAAGCTTATGATATTGTTACATAGGCTTGGGATGTAGTACACCTCACTTAGTAATCTTTGTTCTCCATTATTGCATTGGAAAAGAATGGAACCCTTTCCTTCTATTCTCACTTTTGATCCATCTCCAAAACGAACGTACCCTTTTATTGTCTTGTTTATCTCACGAAACTTTTCTTCCTCTCCTGTCATGTGGTTGTTGGCCCCATTATCTAAGTACCATATCTTGGATTTTGTAGCTTCATAGCCATTTGTTTTCAGTTTTGGAGTCACCCGCTTTTCATTTAAATACACATCTTCATGCACTTCACTCTTACTGTATGCAGATAATAATAGGGCAGGTTCTTGGTCATCAAATCCCTGCATCAAATTGGCTTCCTGAAACCTTTCCTTTCGTGGGTTCTTGCACTCTGCTGCATAATGGCCTTGTTCTTGACAGTTGTAACACACCACTGTGCTTTTGTCTCGGCTTGTTGTGTTCCGTCCTCCATCGCGACTCGACTGTGAAGCTCCACCACGGTGACCCCCACAGTTTGAGTTACCTCTCCCCCGGCCTCTCCCACGACCACGTGAACCGGGATTGTGTTGCCTGGAATCCCGCTGTGATGATTTCTGGCCTTCATCCTTCTTCTTCTTCGTTTTTTCAAGCTACTCCTGATGTGTCAGGAGTAACTTTCCTTCGTTAGAGTCGCTTTGACCTCGCACCTGTTCCTCATGTGCTTTTAGTCTCCCTATGACCTCTTCAACTGTCATAGTTTCTAGATCAGCAAATTGTTCTATGGTGGATGCGATTTGCACAAGCTTGTTAGGTACTGCCCGAAGCAACTTCTTGACCATGTATGCCTCTCCCATTGTCTCTCCTAAGGCACGAACGTTGCTAACTATGTTCGTGACTTTGGCAGCAAACTCGTCTACCGTTTCTGACTCCTTCATGCTCATCATTTCAAGTTCAGTCTTCAACGTCTGAACCCTAGCCGTCTTCACCCGATCAGCCCCTAGATACATCGTTTTCAGAGTTTCCCATGCCTCCTTTGCTGTCTGCTTTTCTGCCAACGATAGGAGCATATATTCTGGAATACCCTGGTAGATAGCCGCCATTGCCATCTTATCTTTCCGGACTTCAACGACTGTATTGGCTGTTCTTGGTTTTACTGCCTCCCAAACACCTTGAGCCTGCATGAAAACTTTCATTTTGATTGCCCAAGCAGCATACTTACTTCTCGAGAGCATGGGGTAGTGTAAAGTGATAGAACCATCTTTGTCATTGTTGTTTCCCGTCATCTCTGTCACTCGTGGTTGATACTTGGGCATATACCAGATTTGCTCTGATACCAAGTATTGTTGCAGGCCCCTGTTTTACACAGCAAAACAGAGCAAAGATGGAGAGTATTTTTGAGGCAATTTTCTGATTATCTTCTCTCTAAAAAACTGGAACGTTACATGCTACTTAAGCTACTAATCAGCTAGAAATGTGGAAACATGAAACCACTTGATTACTACTTCCTAAAGAAAAGGGAAAATGGCCAACATGGCTTTTGACAACTTCCTACATAAATAAACTGAAACAAACACAAATGAAATAAACATAAATGGTCCCCAAACTTTCTGGATTACACCAACAGCAGAACCTCTTAAAAGTTCACAACAACTCAAACGCTGTAATTCTTAGTACAGAAATTCTATCGACAGGTTGGTATGCAGGAAAAGATCGGCCAATGATGGTCCTGAATTGCCTCTTCCGATCAGGTAGTGCAGCGATTCTAATCACCAACAAAAAATCCGCTAATAAGATATCCAAATACAGATTAGTCCACACTCTACGAACACAAGGTGCGTTCGATGACATAGCTTATAACGCCGCACTCGGTAAAGAAGACTTGCAAGGCATCACCGGGTTTACTTTCAAAAAGGATGCAGTAGTACATGCGTTTGGAGAATTACTCCGATCTCACTTGCATGTTCTTGGTTCTTCTATTCTTCCATTAGAAGAGAAAATCCGATATGGGATTTCCGTGATTAGAAAGAGATTCCTCGACAAATCGACACAACTTTACGTACCAAACTTCAGGAAAGTGATACAACATTACTGCTTGCCGACATCTGGGAAGGCCATAGCAGTGGGGATAGGGAGAGAGATGAAGTTAAAAGAGGAGGAAATGGAGGTTGCACTGATGACGTTACATAGGTTTGGGAACCAGTCCTCTTCTTCGTTGTGGTATGAATTAGCGTACATGGAAGCGAAAGAGAGAGTGAAGGAAGGGGAAAGAGTTTTGCAGCTGGGGATTGGGACCGGGCCCAAGTGTACCAGTTTGATATGGGAATGTAATAGGCTCATTATCGGAGAGGCACAGCAAGGCCCATGGGCCGACTGTGTCAATAGTTATCCAGCATCCAGTCTGTAAGTATTGTACTTTTGACCTTTTGATTGGTGTAATGTAAAACTATAACGTGTAAACAGATAAATATTGGCAAGATTTACTATTGATAGAGAGCCTCTTGGTTTATATTTTCTCCAACTCGTTTTCATTTGATTTGCTTATTCATGAAAATTATCCACAATAATTAATAATGATAAAATTACTCTATTTATAATAAATAACAGTGCAATAGTTAAAGGCCATACAAAAGAGTTACTTATAACTAGCGTTTTGCAAGAGTTCAAACTTAGGTACTGTCTTTGCAAAAATTCATCAAACATGATACGAATTGCCAAGCTAGGGACAATTTATGTAAATTACAGTTTGGTTCATGTGGTTTACACCCACCCCAGTTTTAGTCAAACTTTTCAAAATTTATATGTAAATTACAGTTTGGTTCATGTGGTTTCCAAAAGTTGGACGCATGGTCCACAGTGGCAGATCCAGCGCAGAAGTCAAGTAGGGTGCACATTGACCGTTGACCGGAAGTCAACTGGCGTATCCATTGTCCCTGTTATTCTATTAATCGTATGTTATTCTTCTATTCAAAATTAGGAATGGCAATGGGCGGTGGGGTATGCAATCCCATCGCCGAACCCGAAAGTGAAAATTGTTCCCATCCGGGATAAAATCTTCCCCGAAACCCGATTTCGATACCTCAACCAATATAGTAAAATCAGTTAGAAAAACAAAATTTTATTGGTTAAATACAATTTAATCTTATTTTTCCAATCCGTCACCCATTTTTCTAATAACTAAATCGTATAGCTTAGAATTTATAGGACTAATAGGTAAAACAAATTATACATGTCCACAAATACACTCATCATCCCTATAAGTGGGGGGCCATACACCCCATTACTTCTTAACTTCATCCGCCACTGATGGTCAATGAGGTTGTTATTGTCAATTCTCTACCGTTCAACGCTTATAAAGTGACAGAAACGCCTATGTTTTGTCATTTATGATATTTTGACATTTTTCTTTTATTTTTCAGGGACCATTTCTATAAATATTAATATCAAACCCTATAAGCCCTAGTTTATCGATAATCTAGGTATCTTCCACTCCTAATCCAACATAACCTCAAACAATGGACATGCATCCACACCGCCCTCTTGAAAGGAAACAACCTTCAACGTCGGTTGCACAAACACCAAACACCTCTCTCAATCTCATCTCGTTGGACATATGAGTTGATTTAAGAGTTTTCAACTCGTTTTCCAGTATGATTTTATGGATTGTTTTTTGGTGAAAGGATGGTGTTTACTTTTAAGCTTTTGTCCCCCGATGAAAGGTTGGAGTGTGGGATGCCTTTTATTGTTTTCTCTGGTTCGCTTTTTTATTTTTATTTTTGTTAAAAAAAATTGTCATCAATAAGTGGGTGTTGGTGGGGTTGGTGGTTGGAGGTGATTTGTGATGATGGTGATGGTGAAGCTGATGATTGGTGATAGACATGGTGATGGTAATTGCTAATTGATGGTGATAGTTGTGGCGGTGTGATGTAGTGGTGTTGTTATTTCGGTGGTTGTAGTGGTAATGGTGTTGATGGTAGTTATGAGTGGTGATTGTTTGTCTAATGGCAAATGGATGGTGGTGATGATGGGGTGATGTGGTGGAATTGGTATTGGTGATTACTTTAAAAAAATATAAGAATATAAGAAAAAGACAGATACTAGGGAAATTTCGTCGTTAACAATCATTTAACAGAGCCTCTTAGATGATAACAACCTCAAAGACAACATCTATAACTTTTGAAAACCGTAAAGAAATGTCATATCAATTTTTAAAAACTTGGACTATAACTACATGACTAGATTGATCTAAAAGCACATTAACCAAAACTAAAACTATAATTTGCTTAAAGACCCGCAACAAAAAATGAGTATCTCAAAGTCACAACATGAAAGATTTTCTATGACGCAGCGTGAAGAAAAAAACATCCTATTTAAAAAAAATGAAGAATGGAAAGACAAGTAAGTTCTATAGTTTTCTTCATTATAAATGTAATGCAAACCTTTTTAACTAGTGTTCTTTATTTACTGGAAATATTACTTTCGAAGCCAAACAAAAAGTTTGAAACTCATAAAATGATTTCTGAACTTGTTGTTCTTCAACTTAGATTTTTCAGTAGGTTATTAGTTAGGCTTTTTTTTTGCATATGTTTTTCATGAAATAGTATGCTTAGTTGATTAGGCATAGAAACACATAATAATTGACTTTTTCTTTTTGGATAAGATTTATCTAACATGAATGGGTTTGAAACAATTTTGTGAAAATAATAACATTTTTGAAATTTATATCTTCGAAAAATTGTTTTCGAAAATATTGTGTTCTAAAAGAATTCTTTGTAAAACTGGTTTCAAAATTATACTAATAAAGGACGATCATTTGACTTTAAAATGCAGATTAATTTACATTGGTGGCAAAAGAGATTGTTCAGGTACTCCTTCCAGCCGTTCGGAAGAGTGGTGGATATTTACATTGGTGGCAAAAGAGATTGTTCAGGTTCAATATTTGCTTTTGTTAGATTTGAAGATATACATGATGCAAAAGTATTGGAGAAAGAAATGAGTAAATTTAGATGTGGGCATTGCATTCTTAGAGTCAATATAGCACATTATCAAAAGCAACATGGCTCCATTGGAGTCAAAGCTAATACCAGTTATACTACAACTCCAACAAAGACACATCTGGGGACATGACAAGCAACTAGAGAGACGAGAACCTTTGCGGAGGTGGCGGGAGGTGCATCAATCAGACTGTTGACATCGGGTGCTAATCCCATCACTATTAAAATTGCAACAATCTCTGATGGTTGGGCTGATTGTGTGATGGTTGGTGAAACCATTAGCATTCAACATATTACAGATTTACCCACCTTGCTTCCCCTTGACGGAAATCTTGCCGGTGTGGTACACTATATTGGTGGTTTGAACATTATCATAAAATTCATCAACTCAAAATCCGCGAAGGCATTCTATGACAACGAACACAACTGGAACCGTTGGTTCAAATGGCTCAAAATGGGATTTAATGACGACCTGATACAAGAGAGGATTACATGGATAAAAATTAATGGTTTGTCAATACGCTTTAGATCAAACGAAAAATTTGCACTTATTGCAAATGCTTTTGGGAAAACACTTGAGATCATTGGCATTGACTCGAATGCATATGATTTATCTCGTGGCAATGTTTACATTATTACTAAACACACCACAATCATAAACGAGGTAGTTAACGTTTCATTTGAAAACAAAGTATTTCGTGTTGGTGTGGTGGGATATGATAGAGATTGGTCGCCTATTGATAAATCAATCCAGAAAGAACTTGTCCCTCATGACAACAATAATGATGATGATGTGGAGGATGACATGGGGGAGGAAAATTATGAAGAAGAGTAAGATGAAGATCAAGACTCTAATGAAGATGCGATATCAGCAACATGGGTAGGTCTAGTCGAACAAAATGATGCACCTGAAGAAGGTGAAATTATTGAAGAATTCGATGAGTGCGTAGCTCCAGCGACAGTGGCGTTGGAAGACCTTGAAAATCGAAACGTTGAATTAAATTTGGAAGGGGAAATGTCGCAACATATTAATGTTTTGGTTGGTTCCGATACGGGAGATAATGGTGCTGAAGCAGCTCAATTCTCAGGAGGCCTAGAGGATAACGTTATTAAACCCAATAACACAACAATTGAGCCCAATACCAACACACCAATTAGGCCTATTTCTACGATACTGCTTCTCGGTGGAGATGAATGGCCCCCCACTCCTAAACCGACCTACATAGCTAACACGATTTCAGAGTTTGAAAAAGGCGAATCAAACGATAAACGGAGAAGAATTAGTGGTGCTAAATCGTTTCCTGATACCAATATAGCACAATCCCCCCGATCTCCAAAATATCCATGAAATGGATTTCCTCCTGCTGTCCCACCTGTGCCCGCTTCATTATTTGATCTCAACGCATCCACTGCTGACTCGAATTCCAGGGATGACCCCTCAGTTGACGAATCGGGGTCCCCATCTTGTGAATTTACAAAATTAGTCAAGGCCGGTCTTGATGTTGGCTTTTAGATGTGGGAAGATGATCCAATTGTTACTGGAATTGCAAACAGTGGTGATGGTGTTAACACATTGAAGTAATGAATTGCTTAAGTCTCAACATCAAGGGGTATGGGGAATCTCACAAAATAGATTGGCTACGCAGAATCAAACATTTACATAAGGTTGATTTCATATGCCTTCAAGAAACACGTGTGACTGACTCAAACATGGATGATATTGCTGGAGCATGGGGAAATAATGACTATAATGTGGAATTTATGAATCTGACTGGGAGGTCAGGTGGGATTGTCTCCATTTGGGATCCAAACATCTTCTCTAAGAGTCAGGTTATGTCCTCTTGACACTTCATTTCAATAACTGGTAAATGGAAAGGTGTGAATGGGGCTACAACTGTGGTCAATGTATATGCACCACAATCAAAGTCAGATAAAAGAAAACTTTGGTCAAATTTAATTAATCTGAAAATGAATATAGTTGGCATTTGGATGTTTCTTTGTGACTTTAATGCATTAAGAAGTGTTGAAGAAAGTATCAACTCGTCGCACTGTTAAAGATTTTAATGAATTCATTAGAAAGGCAGGATTACAAGAGTTAAATCTCGACGGTAAGAAATTCACATATATGTGTGACGACGTCCTCAAGTTAAGTAAGTTGGATAGAATTTTGGTATGCTCTAACTTCATTGCACAACAACCACTATCCATGGTTATTGTTCTTGATCGGGAATACTCTGACCACACACCATTAACTATTAAACCGTCAAAACAAGACTTTGGGCCACCAATGTTTCGTTTTTTAACTCATGGTTACATAAAGACGGATTTAATGAAGAATTTTTAAAAGCATGGAACTACTTCATTGGTTTTGGTTTACCTGACATGTTTCTCAAGTCCAAGCTAAAGTATGTCAAAACCTGTATTTGCAAATGGAGACTCGCATACCATGATGAAGAATCGAGAATGTTGCTGCAATCGAAGGCCAGGGTTTCTGAATTGGAACAATTGGCTGAATCTCGGACATTGTCTGATGATGAACTATTAGAGAGAAAGGAATGTAAACTTAAAATTAGAGAATTAGAGAGACTCGCAAAGCTTGATGTACAACAAATGGAGAAAATCAAATGGCTTGTTGACGATGATGAGAACATTGCTTTCTTCCATGCCACAGTTAAAAGCAAGAATCGCAAAAATCATGTACACGGTTTGGTTATCAATGATGCTTGGAATATGAATCCAAAGGACATAATGCAGGAGGTTCATAATTTCTTTGCTGATAATTCCATGAGAAGTGGCCTTAAAGACCAAAACTAATTAGTAATCTCTTCAAATCTCTCTCCTCTGATCAAATTGATGCGTTGGACTAGCTCTTCCTTATCGATGAAGTAAAACAAACTGTATGGAGTTGTGGTGGAGACAAAGCCCATGCGTCGGATGGATATACTTTCAAAATTCTTAAAAATAAATGGGAGCTCATCAAATCAGATCTATATCATTTTGCACAACACTTTGAATCGCATGGCTGGTTTGCACATGGTTGCAATTCTTCATCCATAACATTCATCCCAAAAGTGAATGACCCACCAGATCTTGGAGACTAACGTCCTTTCAACTTAATCATTGCTTATACAGAGTGATTGCCAAACTTCTTGCCTCCCGTCTTAAAATGGTGGTGGATTCTATAATTGATGATGTTCAATCGACATACATCAAAGGAAGGAACATACTTGATGGCCACTTGTTATTAATGAAGTGTGTTCGTGGGCTAAAAAATCAAAAGAAATTTTTTGTATGTTCAAAGTGGATTTCGAAAAGGCGTTTGACTCACTAAATTGGCGATTTCTTGATTCTATAATGGAACAAATGGACTTTAGTGGTCAATAGAGGAATTGGATTCATGGCTGCTGTAACGACCCAAAAATCCAAGGTAAAAATTTCATTTTAAATATAATTAAAAAACTATTGTAACATTGGTCAGAACTTTGAAAAAGCATTTCAAATAAAACAATTATCAGAGTCTAATCCCAAAGATCATATATTACGGAAAACACAGGTGTATGCACTGCGATCGTCCCGAGCTCTTTAATTTGAAAACTGGATTACCTGAAACAAAAACTGAAAATCGTAAGCACAAAGCTTAGTGAGTTCCCCAAATACCACATACCAAACACATAATCACATATAGTGGGCCCCACCCTATCATCGGGCCCCGACCGACATCGGACATAGTCGGGCATCGAGCCCCGCCCGGCATCGAACATAGTCCAGCATCGGGCCCCGCCCGGCATCGAGTTGAACTCGGCATACACATATCATATATCAAATAAACACACATACGCATACAATAATTACATAGATACGAAGCATACAAATAGTCATCGGGCACCACCCGACATCAGACCTTAGTCTGGAAGCATACGAGTACAGACACATGCAAGAGTCACGAAGACACAAGCATATAACTAGGGTTGTAAATGAACCGAACGAACACGAACAAAGGCTTATTCATGTTCGTTCGTTTAAGTTATCCGAACAAACAAATGAACATGAACGGATAAACGAACGAAGTTTTCTTGTTCATGTTCGTTCGTTTAACAAATTGTCTTGTTCATGTTCGTTCGTTTATGTTCGTGAACATGCTAAACGAACAAAGATAAACAAACACAATTGAACATATATGGACATAAATGAACTATAATATAGTAATGTAGTAAAAAACAATTGAACATAAAAAAAACTTAAACGAACGAAAATAAACGAACAACATAATCGGACGTTCACGAACGTAAATGAACGAACGAGATAATTGTTCATGTTCGTTAATTTAACTAAACGAACGAGAATTTGTGTTCAATGTCGTTCATTTATTAAATAAACGAACTTCCCGCCGAACAGTTCATGAACGGTTCACCGAACGTTCAGTTCGTTTACAACCCTACATACAACTATTCCTCGGGCCCTGCCCAGTATCGGACCGTAATCCGGAAAGCATATAAATATTTATCGGGCACCGCCCGACATCGAACCATAATCTGGTAAGCATATAATCATAAACACGGGACGACATTGGTTCCTTCGACCCGTTCAATTCAGGAGGAAACTCACCTCGATTGTTAAAGCTCACTGCACGAAATCCTAGTTGTTGCCCTGACGATTTCCCAGACTAACAATTACCAAAACAACATCCAGTTAGTCACTGAATTCCAAACCATGGTCCATAAACCAAAGTTGGGGTAAAATGACCATTTTAACCCTGGTCCATCAAGACTCATAACCAAGGCCCTAGCCCAAGACCAATTAGGCCCAAAACTATAAGATCTATAAAAGCCCATTAATGGCCCAATTTTCCAAATTGGGCCCAACTCCATGTGGCCTTACCCAAAAGCCCAACAATTCCTAGGCCAATAACAAAATCTCAAAAACCCAAAGGTTTCACAAGGCTCAAGCCTATGGGCCCACAAAGGCCCAAACCCATTGGGCCCACCAAGCCCAATAAGGAAAACCCATAATCTAGACCAAAAAGAAGCCCAATTCCAAAAACAATTCCTCCATTCAGAAGTCCAACACTCAAAGTCCAAGGCCCAACTTCAAGGCCCAAGGTGACAACCAAGCCCAAAACGATACTAGGCCATTTACGCTGGCGTACACAATGGTACGCAGGGCGTCCCACGAAGACTTCAGTACGCGGGGCGTACCCGCAAACTCTCCAAAACTTTATTCATGACTTAATCCGTTAAGTCCTTCCATAATAAGCTCATAATGCCTTCCAACTAAGGTCCTAATGCATAAAGTCGGCACCTTTATGTATTTACATGACTCAAAGAGACCCAATAACCATTTTAATCCATTAAAACCAACAAGAACATGCATGGACCATATCTAAGCATCAAACAAACATTTTTATGAACTTATAACCTTAAATCTGCCAAGAGTGGCAACTCAAAGCTTCTAAAATGGTGTCCAACCACTAGATCTTGCTCATGAGGTCAAAATGGGACCAAAAACCATAAAATCATAGATCTCAACTTCTAATGATCAATCCAAGAACTTTTTACCTCCAATGAGCTGAAAATGAAGCAAAGAGTCCAGATCCACAAGCCTTTCCTTGCACCACCACCTTGCACCAAGCCACCACTTCTTGAAATACACTTCAATCCACCAAAAATGCACATACAAAGCTCACAACACTCTTGGATAAATCTATAGCTCGAGATTTAGGGTTTAAGACACTGGAGGATGAAAGAGAGACTCACATATGTGACTTAAGGTGCTTAAATAGTGAGCCAACCCTTAAAATTAGGGTTTTGGGGATCCTGAACGTACGCTGGGCGTACAACTCCCAAGCCCACGTTCCACTTTTCCATTCCTACGTTGGGTGTACTCACGTGCATGCCACCTTTGAATGCATGGGCTGAAATGCAATCTTTTTCCACAAAGGACCAAATCTGCCAATAACTTCAAAGTATCATAACTCCCTCATCCTAGGTCCGTTTCCAACGAACCTTATATCCACGAAAAGGTGGCGAGAATACCTACACTCCAAACAACACACCCAAGACTTAAAACCTTCAGGACAAAACCCTAAACCCATAAAATATCGAGATATCAAATTACAGTCATACCCTTGGCTTCTGAAGACACAATCGAATACATGGATCACTTACACCATGGAAACTACACCCGAAGTGGGCTAAATCCTTCCTTTCTCGAAGCCCTAAGTCTCGTGACAACTGTTGACTGGGTCGCAGCCCTAGCAACAAAGCAAATCTGAAACTGAGTGTTACAACTCTTCCCCACTTAAATTAGATTTCTTCCTCGAAATCGCTCCTTACTAACACCCATATCAAAAACAAACAATCCGAGGAAAGAAACCGAAGATTCAGCGCATAAGACAACCATCCCGAGATACCCGAAATTCCATCCTGAATGAAACAAACCTTAAGCTCCCGCAAAACCACTTCTGCCTATCCGAAATCTGAAATCTATAATGGTCTGTCTCCCCGACAGACCACTCATGTTGAAATATTATCATGCCAAAACCTCATCGAATAACTGACCAACCATACTACTTCCAATCCTGATGCAATCTACGAAAACAAAGCCACTAACAATAACCATCTGCAAAACAATTATACTTGACAGAAGGCTCAGATAATCCTTCGAGTAGAAGATTCATCCCTGCAACGGTTAGACTCAGACGAGAGCTGCGCAACAGGGTCAAATCAATTACTCTTAGATTATTTAATCCAACTGTAAGTGACTTAGCACTTTCGATCAGCAAGCTACTCCACACATAAGAATCCTCACATCACTACTTTTGCCTGAAACATCATTCTGCCTCTTATCCACTTTCCAAATGAACCGAGACCTCCCTGGTCCCAACTTATCTGCCAACTATCTGGAATATCGAATTCCCACCCGGTTGCTGAGCCAAAGAACACCCTCACAGTCGCTCCCTGAAACTTCCGAAGAAAACTTCGGCTATCGAAAACTACCCCATCCATGTCGCGACTCCTAGCTCCATAAATCCTGAGATCCAAAATCCCATACCTTGACCCAACAGTCTCTGCCAGGTCCCACATGCACTGCTATAAGCACACGGGCCTCGCCCACGGGTCGCACCCAAACCATACCACAGAGCGTCCTTGCCCATGGGTCCCACCTACCTTGGGCTACACATGCCCAACTCCACCTCGAACCCCTACGACTTACCTTTTCCAGGATCCAATCATGTTGTGGCCTTTTCACAATCTCATGAACTAACCCACCCTGGCGTAACTCATCTGAAAGAATTTGTGAATGCTACGATTCATTCCGCAGTCTTACAACACTTTCCCACACTATCTGGCCGCATAGAGAACGCTACAGCTGGCCCACTATCTGGCCGTATATGGAGGAAGTATATTGATAACATCCACAATTTATTCACGAAACCAATTATGTATATGGTGTCTGGTCTAATATAGCCAAGACAGTTAACAACCTTCCTGAAGTACACATCGATCATCAATCCTTGTTCTCTGTGGTTCCTGGTTCTAATGTGTAAATCTTATTTTGGTTAGATCGGTGGTGTGGTGATGATACTCTTAAAAATAAATTTCCTTTACTATATGAATTGGAATTTGTGAAAAGGTGTTTTGTTACTGAAAGAGTATCCGACTCAAGCTTCATATGGTGCTAGAAATCATCACATAGAGGAAATAATGTTCAATCGGAATTTCGGGAACTATGCTCTACCCTCAACAATATCATAATCACACCCACTGTGTTGGGGTTTACATTCAATCCCAATGCTTATGGTATATACACGGTGAACACATTGAGGAAGAAAATCGATTCTATGTCAAGTTCACACAATGGATCGATAGTTGATTAAGGTGCATTGTTTTGTTTGGCGTGTTGCCTTGAGGAGAGTGCCAGTTGCAACAAAGCTTGCTAAAAGGGGTATTAATGTCCAGTCCAATTTATGTACACTCTACAGAATTGAACCAGAGACGGTGGGCCATCTGTTTGTAACTTGTAAGGTTGCAGAAGATAAACATGATTGGATTTTAAAATGGCATGATATAACTGGAAGGCAATTTTCCAACATGGAAGACTATCTTGACTTTGCTGCTTCTTGGGGTAATTGCCCTAAGAAAAAGTTGATTCTCATTTTAGTATTTTATTGCATGGTTTGGTACATTTGGATAACAAAGAACAACAAGGCGCTTAACAAGGTGGTTACAACCCCAACAAAGATTGCGGATAATATTACCTCCCAATCGTTTTCGTGGTTTAAATACCGGAGCTCTAAAGCATATGGTAGATGGATTGATTGGTGTATTTCACATTTTAATTTTTGTTAATCGTTTTATTTGTAATCTTCTTGTACTTTGCCAATGATCTAGTCACTCGCTAATCATGTGGTTGTTTTATTTATTTACCGTTTCCAAAAGAAAAAAAAAAAAAAAGGTAAACATATTTCGGCTCTTAGCTCAACCTACCACATTTGGGGACCTTAACTTGTCTTTCCATTCTTCAAAATTTACAAGCACCGATTTGTGAATATATCATTTTGGGATTTTGAAAATGATTTTCGGGTAATAATATAATATGAAAATTTTATTTATTTAAAATTTTTTTCTTATGTTCGATACCCCCTTCGACCACTTCGAAATTTAGAATTACAATATTTAATGATGGTTATTTTTTGAAAAAATGTCTGAAAAAAATAAAGAAACGGTATATTTCCTAAAACCTTTTGCAAATGAGGTCAGGTCAACTTTTTTTTTTTTTTTTTTTTTAAGTTATTTTTATAAATGAAAAGAATATCAATGCTGGTATGGTCTCTCGGGATGTGCGGCAGTAAACGGCAACAGTAAATTCTTGTTGCGCAGGTGCTTGTGATAAACAAATGCTCCATCACATAATAAGCTACAGGCCTACAACTACAACAAGAGATAGTAATTAATAAGTAAATCATTAATAACTGTTGGGAGTTACTCTTCCATTTTACCAACCGTTGAACATTAAAAACGAGTCGCTGGCAGTGGGGTTGTGTTTTACATCTTGTCATTGCCAATTTGCCATACATAACAAGTGACCAATTTTGTTTATAAAGAAAACATAAACTTAAGGTACAAAAAAGTTCCTTTTTTTTTTTTTTTGTAGTACCATTATCACAAGATTACTTTCTATATCTTTCGTCATGTATCATATCTCCAATTTGGGAAATAAAGGTCCCACTTTCTAGTTGTCATTTCATGGTAGTTAATGGAATAAACAATTTAAATGTCATTTGAACATCATCATCACCTTAGATAAGTAATAAATCCCCTTTGTTACCACTAAATAACATAATAAGCTACAGGCCTACGTTATTATAATGTTAATATTGTTAATGTGTTTAAAAGTTTAAATACCTGAAGTGGTAATGATTCATTAAATTCTTATCACCAGCCAAAGTCCATGTCCCAAAAACTAAATACGAACCGCCATAATTATACAACTACCACTTTTATTACCTGCACAAGATGACAGAACCAAGCACGTACCCTCCTCTTTACTCTTTACTCCACTCCACACACCGCCTCTAATAAAAATACTCCATTTGCCTTTTTCTTCTTCACTCATCTTCTTCGTTTCATCTATCCCAAGAATTTAAAATTGGAAGAAATGGGTGGGATTAATCCAGTCAAATGGTGGTTATTCCTGTATCTATCAACCTATCTCACAATCAACAACATTGCTCTCTCATCCACCAACAATGGCGTCTCCAAGAAAACTTATATTGTTCACATGGATATCACCGCCATCCCTACCACCTTCACCGACCATGTTTCGTGGTACTCATCGCTCGTGAAATCAGTTGCAGTTCCATTGGATGATTTCAATGAAGAAGAAGAAGAAGAAAGGGTGATGTATACGTACCAGTCGGCTTTCCATGGTATGGCGGCACGGCTGAGCGAGGAGGAAGCGGAGCGTCTGGAGGATCAGAATGGCGTTGTTAGCGTACTCCCCGAGGTAAGATATGAACTTCATACCACACGAAGTCCAATGTTTCTAGGGCTTGAACCACAAGATAGTACGAGCGTCTGGACTGACAAATTGACTGATCACGACGTCGTTGTCGGTGTACTGGATACCGGAATCTGGCCGGAGAGTCAGAGTTTCAACGACACTGGATTTACCCCGGTTCCCGCGCACTGGAGAGGCGGATGTGAAGTGGGCCGGGGTTTCGAAAAGCGTCATTGTAATAAAAAGATAGTCGGGGCTAGAGCGTTTTACCGTGGATACGAAGCTGCCACCGGTAATATAAACGAGGAGAAAGAATACAAATCTCCTAGAGATCAAGACGGGCATGGAACTCACACGGCGGCGACAGTTGCAGGTTCGCCGGTGCATGGGGCAAATCTTTTGGGGTACGCTTACGGCACAGCTCGAGGAATGTCCCCCGGAGCTAGAATTGCTGCCTATAAAGTGTGTTGGACCGGTGGGTGTTTTAGCTCTGATATTCTCTCCGCCGTTGACAAGGCGGTGACAGACGGAGTCAATGTCATGTCTATTTCTTTAGGCGGTGGAGTTTCGTCGTACCACCGTGACAGTTTATCGATTGCAGCTTTTGGAGCCATGGAGAAGGGGATTCTCATTTCCTGCTCCGCAGGAAACGGTGGGCCTGACCCGGTCAGCCTAACTAATGTTTCTCCATGGATTACGACAGTCGGAGCAAGCACCATGGACCGAGATTTTCCCGGGTCTGTGAAGCTCGGATCCGGGGCGATGCTAAAAGGAGTATCTCTTTACAAAGGGCGAAGAAATCTATCGCCAAAAATGATGTACCCAGTGGTTTACACCGGGAGTAATTCAAGTAGCCCCGACCCAGGTTCTCTGTGTTTGGAAGGAACTCTGGACCCACATGTGGTTTCCGGGAAGATTGTGATATGCGACAGGGGAATCAGTCCTCGAGTTCAAAAAGGTCAAGTGGTGAAACAAGCAGGTGGCATCGGCATGATTCTGTCCAACACCGCCGCCAACGGAGAGGAACTCGTGGCGGACTGCCACCTTCTTCCGGCGGTGGCTGTCGGAGAAAAAGAAGGAAGAGCAATCAAACAGTATGCGATGACAGGTCGAAACCCCACAGCAAATCTCGCATTTTACGGGACTAAAATCGGTATAAAACCATCTCCGGTGGTGGCCGCTTTTTCATCCAGAGGACCTAATTTCCTGTCATTGGAGGTTTTAAAGCCGGATCTGGTGGCTCCGGGAGTGAACATACTTGCGGCATGGACCGGCGACATGGGGCCATCAAGTCTGGAGACTGATCGCCGGAGAGTCGCGTTCAATATTCTCTCAGGAACTTCCATGTCATGTCCTCACGTGAGTGGTGTTGCTGCATTACTCAAGGCAAGACACCCAGAGTGGAGCCCAGCTGCTATAAAATCAGCCCTAATGACAACCGCATATATCCATGATAACACCTATCACCCTTTACATGATTCTTCAACCGGTGGACTATCCAGCCCGTATGACCATGGTGCGGGTCATATCAACCCGTCTAAAGCGGTTGACCCGGGTTTGATTTACGACATTGGCCCACAAGATTACTTTGACTTTTTATGCACACAGGGTTTGACCCGAATTCAGCTCATGGTTTTCGCTAAGTATTCAAATAGGACATGTCATCATTCGCTTTCCGGCCCGAGTGATTTGAACTACCCGGCTATCTCAGTTGTGTTTCCAGAAGATAAAAGAGTTTCTAGTTTGACAGTTCATAGAACTGTGACTAATGTCGGACCTCCGCTTTCAAAGTACCATGTTGTGGTTTCAGAATTCAAAGGTGTGAATGTGAAGGTGGAGCCATCTACATTAAATTTCACCAAAAAATATCAGAAACTGTCGTACAAGGTCACGTTTACAACAAAGACTAGGCAAACAGCACCACAGTCTGGGGCTTTGATTTGGAAAGATGGTGTACACAGAGTAAGAAGCCCAGTTATACTCACATGGTTGTCACCACTATAAACCATGAATGATGTTAAGGATCGACAATAAAAGAGAGAGAGCAATGTTAAAGTGTTAGATTCGTTCTCATATCATGTAATCCTTTTTGGGTTTTTTTTTTATTTTTTTGGTTTAGATTTAAGATTTAACTATTGTAAGGTGTATGCTTGCAATTTGAGAATTTCCTAGTTTGAGATGAGAAAAGATGACCAAAAGATACAGAAATCTTAAGATTGCTGCAATTTTTAGCTTACCGATTTTTATATCAACTGATAAACCGACAAACAGAGTTATTATGTGTTGGTATTACCTCAACAAGTGGAAAGCAAATTGAATGGTACTATGGGCAAAAGAGACATAAGCTATCAATTTCAAAATCAGAAACACCGACAAAGGGAATGGAGACATTTTAAAAAAAAAAGTTATATCATGTTACATTAATGGGGTGCTTAATGGTAGTTGTAAATCAACATCTTTTTCACGACTCATAAGCATATATGATGCAACATCTTTTAACGACTCGTAAGCATATATATGATGCATATAATGAATGTAACTACTGATTTTAGGTCAATAAATCATATTAATATAGTTAATGTAACTACTGATTTTAGGTCAATAAATCATCTTAATATAGTTAATGTAACTACTGATTTTAGGTCAATAAATCATCTTAATATAATTAATGTAACTACTGATTTTAGGTCAACAAATCATCTTAGTATAATAGAATTTATAGATTATTAATAGAATTTACATTAATGAGATGGACGTTTATATAAATTGACTTTGATCTCAGTTTGATCAAAATGACAAGGTTTAATGGTAGTGTCTAGCCTTGAAAATTAATTTTGTTGAGGAAATTTTGCTCTCAGTTCGATCAAAATGACAAGGTTCAACAATAGTGTCTCGCCTTGAAAATTAATTTTGTTGAGGAAATTGTTACGAAAAATATTGTTTTTGGAATATATTTTTGATAATTATCTTTGAAACTGTCATCATTAATTACATTATAAAATCAACATTTAATGTTGATTTTGTTCTTATTTTTGGTAATCAGAAAAATTTAAATTCTATATAAATTCATAGTTTATGATTTCTTATTAGTGCCTTGATAAGAAATTGTTATTTGAAATATTATCTACATAATCTAGATTCCATAATACTCATGCATAGCGTCGAAATATCCTATTCGAAAAGTGATCGCAAAATCCTTCAAGCAAATCCAAAACACCCTTCGATTTCAGAAACAACAATTCCTCCCAAACCCTAAACCCTTCCATAACAACTACACCATTGTTACTAATAAAGACTCGTAGAGACATATGGTTTTGGTAACAAATTCCTTGCACTGCAGTTGCTACCGAAGTACCAATGTAACACCCCATTTATTAAATTGAAAAGATTTGAAGGCTTAGGGGGCTTATTGGTAATATAGGGATCTATTATGAAAGGAATTTATGGGATCAGGGTTTAAAAGGTAAATTTTGGATTGATGCTGAAAATAATATGGGGAGGAGGGACCAAAAGTGTATTTTTGGCAGTGTAGTTTAGTTGGAGTCACGGGATTAATCCGATCCCTTCATCCTCTCGTTAAAGGGGTGCAGCCAAAGAACCCTAACCCTATTCTTATGAAGTCGCCGCCATGCATGCCCCTTCCGGCCGCCACCATCCATGTTCGTTGCTCCGATCAGACCAAGCCGCCTAGCGGCCACCTTGCCATCGAAGCGCCACCACACCTAACTGTCGGAGTTGTGCTGTGCAGCCGAAGAACCGCCAGAGGCGGCGAGAACCGCCAAAAGATCACTGACGACCGAAGGAGAGCTGTGTCGAAGTCGTGTGAGGGCCGTGAGTCGTCGGAACCTCTAGGTAAGTCAACCGCAACCCATTGTTCCTCTCTTTCTCGTGGATACGACGCCGGAATCGCCATTACCGCCGTCGGTGGCCCTTGGGCCGTTGTTTTATTATTTCCGGTGAAGCCTGCCACCTAGGCGGTGGTTGTATGGGTGTGTGTTCGAATGAACATGCTGGTTGATGTGCTCGTGGGGCTGTTTGTGCAATTTTGGACGGAAAACCCCCTGCCACAACCTCATGGTGGTGGCTGCAACCGTTTTTGCCACCCTTTGTCGCCACCAGCCACCGTAGGAGGCGGGGCCCGTATCTCATGATTGGTTGAGTGTGGGCGGGGCCCGTATCTCCTAGTTAGCGGAGTGTGGGCGGGGCCCGAATCTCCTAGTTAGCGGAGTGTCGGCGGGGCTCGTATCTCCTAGTTAGCGGAGTGTGGGCGGGGCCCGTATCTCCTTGAGTGTGGGCGGGTCCCGTATCTCTCAGTAGCATGATTATGTGCATGGTATGTGGTAGTTTGGGGAGACTCACTAAGCTTCGTGCTTACAGTTTTCAGTTTTGGTTTCAGGTACTTCGGTTTTCAATAGAGGGAGCTCGGGATGATTGCAGTGCACACACCATTTGTTCAGCCTGGGATGGTTATACTCTGATATATTGACAGATGTTATGATATTCTTGAGATACACGATTTATGATTTTTACATGTTGAATGATAATTATGGTTTTATTAATGATTTAAAACAAAAAATTTAGACTGTATTTTTGGGATGTTTCAAGTTGGTATCAGAGCCTTGGTTTGATGGATTCAGACACGCTCTTGGGTGTGTCTGAACTCAAACTAAGTAATTGATATGAAAATTTTCAAAGAAAATCATTTTTATAAAAAGAACTTTGAGAAAAAGAAAAGAATTTTGAAAAAGAGAAAAGGGTGTGGTGCATGCAATCAGCCGAGCTCAAGTAAGTATTCCCATATTACCCACACAAGTTTATGTTATGTTTGATGGGTTTTATACAAACAATCCTATGTGTGCATGCAACCCTAGAGTTGGATCTATGTTATCACTATTAGTTATACAACATTATGAACACATAATAAAACCCTAATGATGCTTACTATTTTCGAAATTAACCAAAAAGGTTAGATTACATACCTCTTGTTGTTATATTGTAATAACAACTTAAATCTTGAATCTTCTTGTCTTTGAAAGCAAGTACCACAAGTGTAGTACCTCTAATGGCTCACAAACACCAAGAGCAAATGGAGAGGTAATAGAGAGAGGGAAGAGGTATAGAATTTCGTCCCTAGGACCCCTTGGGAAGGCATGGACGAATTCATGAGCCTTAGGGGTCTTTATATAGGTGTAGATATTAAGGTTTCAGTCCTTATCCTTATCTAGTTGCTTGCCCACCAAGCAATCATAAGATAAGACTTGAAATCCCTTATCCTTTATCCTTTGGACGATTTCAAGGATCCTTATCTCCTTGAATTCGTTCAACCCATATTTAGGATAACCATTACCATATTTTGTAACTATCACATAATTACAATTCAGCCCCTCTAGTTTAATTAATTACACTTGATCACAAAATTAATTCTTAATTAATTATTGACCGATATTAATTAAACAAATATGATTTCTCCTTTAATATATTATTCTTATAACATATTAATAAATCATAATAACCTCTTTCTCTATTATTTCTCCAGTCAAGTTGCTTTGGTGAAGGCAACCCAAAAGGACCATGCACAATCGGGTCAAGTACTTGACAAATATGGTTACAGGCTTAGACACTAATCCAACAGTCTCCCACTTGGATAAGTCTAGTAACCACAAATGTAAGTACAACTCGATTAGCAATCGTAGCTCTCAAAGACGCTGTCGAACTCTGATCTTATCAGTAACCTGTCCTTTAGATAAGGGATCATATATTCCTCCATTCTAGATATCGTATAGACGTGAGACATGGATTGAAATCATTCTCTCAGTCTATGTGTTGTTTCCCGATTTCCGATTTACGACGACTGACTAATTGAACAAATCAAATTAGCCCTAGCCCGGCCGAGCATTTACGTTTGTCATCACTAAATCATCGAGGGGCCCACAGATATCGCTTTTATCCCACTTTGGGTAAAAGGAACGGATAAACTTCGACTCAATGTTTGCTTGCACTCACTCACCAAATCACACACAACAATAAGTTTTATAACACCAAGTTACTGGTGCGTTTACATATTATCAATGTGTAACCGATTCGCAAGATACAACTCACACATCTCGGTTTCAAGAATACAAGATATTATCGTCTCACCAATCGCTCGTGATAAAATCCATGAAGCGATCCAAGTGAGCGTGGGTTTAATCCAATGCTCAAAATCATATTCATAAGCACTCATGAACGTTGCAGCAAACCTTTGCTATGTCTAATACACTTTAGACAATCTACAAACCAATTCATGACAGTCTTCATTCATACCTACTTCCAACATATGAACGACTGCGGACCGTTTGAATAATTCGATTATTCTTAATAAACTCAATTATTCTGGAAGTCAAAACATGCAAAGAGAAACACAAGAATAATACTAATCCTATATGGTCTCAAACCTTTGAGTATAAATAAAACACCTTTTATTTATCACCATATCGATTACTCATTATCCATTGTTTAATGTTTCAGATAATCAACTTTATAACTCGAATCATAACCACAATTGTCCCATGCTCAAAGCATGCACACTTTGGTTTCCTATGGTCCATACTTTGTGAAATAGATTAATTGAAACTTTTCAAATGCAACTCATTTCACAATCCCCAATCCTTATAATTAGTGTAAGAATACCAAATTCTTGCCACCTTTTAGAATATGTCAAATTCTAATATTTTATGCAATGATCCTCTTGTGAAGTCACGGCACAAAAATCACAAAGACTCGGCCAACGAAATCACAAGGTACTCTATCAAAATTGTTACAGAACAATTCTATAGATGTGATGTCTCTCACTCAAAGTACATTCCTTTGAACATCCTTTTGCATAAAATTTTCTAATCATGTAAATTCTTAATTTCCAACTCCCAATTATGGAAACATTTCCATATTTACCATATGATAACTCATTCTTAATAGAATCTTATCTATTCATAATAATGTCGATATGATCCATTCAATACCATACT